CCCCGTGAGTGGCACGACACACTGAGGACTACACTTGCGGCTCTTGGGTTTGCTCCTTCTACTGCCGACCCGTCGCTGTTTCTGCGCACCGACACCTCTTTGCCGCCGTTCTACATCCTCGTGTACGTCGACGACTTGGTCTTTGCCACTGCTGACACTGCTGGACTCGCCCACGTGAAGTCCGAGCTGCAGAAGAGACACACGTGCACAGACTTGGGTGAACTGCGCAGCTACCTTGGCTTGCAGATCACCCGGGACAGAGCACAGCGCACCATTACTCTGACTCAGTCACACATGGTGCAGCAGGTCCTTCAGCGCTTCGACTTCACGTACTCCTCGCCTCAGGCCACTCCTCTGTCTACTCGCCACTCGCTCTCAGCTCTGCCTTCGGATGAGTCCGTAGAGCCGAGTGGCCCGTACACAGAGCTTGTTGGCTGCCTCATGTACCTGATGACCTGCACACGACATGACCTTGCATACCCTCTTAGCATCTTGGCACGCTATGTTGCTCCTGGGAGACACCGACCAGAGCACATGGCTGTAGCGAAGAGGGTGTTGCGCTACTTGTGCAGTACGTTGGGCATGGGGCTAGTGCTTGGAGGGCGGCGTTCAGTGGTCCTCACAGGTCACGCAGACGCTTCTTGGGCTGACGACCAGGCTACGCAGCGGTCGTCACAGGGTTACACCTTCAGCCTTGGTTCCGGCTCTGTTTCGTGGCGGTCTACCCGCTCGTCTTCTGTTCTCGGCTCCAGCTGTGAGGCTGAGATCTACGCGGGGGCCATGGCTGCACAGGAGCTATGCTGGCTCATTCCTCATTTCTTCACAGAGGTTTGTTGCAACCCGAGACAGTGGGGCTAAGGAAAAAATCTCGTGGTGCATTTTTGTGGGAAGAAGGCGTGGCATCGTGGTTGACAAGCGGGGCGGAAAGAGAATTTAGTGAAAATTCGTTCGCGCTTACACCCTGTGAAATCAATGTAGAGTGGAATTTTGAGAGAGGGGGGCGATTTTCATGAGATGTTGCCTCACTTTTCGTTATGATTTAGAATATTCGTTTCCATCTTTATCTGTAACGGGGACCTCACATCTCCGTCTTCTGGATTTCGCCGCTTAAGTGTTGTCATGAGCAGCGAGCGTGACGAGTAATACCTCGCTGCGGTTTGCCTTGTTGGACTACCAAGGCGTAGCGAGTGTTGCTCGCATTGAGTACTTGCCCCTTCCTGCCTGCCCGTCTCCCTCCCCCCCTTCTCTTGCAGCCTTTCCGAATCGCCAAGCCTCGCCATCAGCACCACGCACTGCAGATCGACTGGCCCCGCGCCGCCACTGCTGAGTCACGGCACGAGACGTGGAAAACATCGACACTTGAAGAAACCCTGAAAAAAAGGTAAGGAATCTGACTCCTCGGTCAAAACATGATTCTCCCCATAGTCTCCCAGTCTTGGCCTCCGTATTTCATGGCTCTCAGCATACGAGTCATGGTGCTGGTACGTGTGTCGGAGTTTGATGTGTAACTTTTGATGCATTGTCGTCTTGGTCCCTTCCTGAAGTTCCATGGGTGAGGTTTTTTCTCTGTGCTGCAATCATCATGCTGTCACTTTTCCAAGCTCTCACTGTCCTACCCTGTGACTGGCCTTGCCTGTCCTGTAGCTGTCGTACCTTATGAGGGACTTCCTGTGACTCACCTACCCTGTAACCGACCTGGCCTTTGAAACGGCCCAGCCCCCGACTGACCAAGCTAGTGACAGACTTAGTCTGAGCGATCTATCTTGGAAAAATATCTTTTGTTCAGGATTTGAAGTTAAGTATCATGACACAGATTCGTTCTGGATGGGCGGTTGGGATAGGCATATGTCTGGCGAGACTAAAATAGGCTGGGCGCACGGATGAGGGGAGGGAGGGTAATAGGTGTAGAAAGGTGTGCGAGAGCAATGAATGCAATAGAAATTGTGTGGGAAGGAAATAATGTTAGGCAAGGAGGTTGATTGTCGTGACCGACTTGAGGGAAGGTGGTGATCTGAGTGTACCAGTGTTTCTGTTTTTGCAACATCTATTGCCAAAACATCTGTTGTTTTCTTAGCCGGAGTGAGCAGTTCACATGGTTTTATGCCTGAGTGTATTGCGCATTGCGTGAATGTGCCAGAACCTCTACACAGTACGCTCAGCATTTTGAGTAAATCTTCCCATTTAGGTCTGTGCTAGCTTGCCTCTGATCAAGGCTATGAGTGTCCTAGCATGTGGCCTTGTGACTAACCTTGACAGTGTCTGACCAGACTTGCACATGACCTCTTATGGATGGATCTAATGCTGACCTTACTTCGTGGCTGCCTCAACCTGTGATCGCTCAAGCTTGTGTCTATTCTCTCCCATGTTAGTAACTGGCCTTTGACTGACCTAGCTTTTCTGCCTGGCTTGACCTTTGACTGTCCCAGGCTCCAACTTAGTGTGTAAGTGATCAAGCATGCAGCTTACCTAGCTCGTGATTGATCTAACATGTGTCTAACCTAGCCCGTCTAATACCTTGCCTGTGATTGACCACCTAGAGTGTGAGCTTGGCTTATATTTTAGATAATTTCCTTCAAGTTCTATTTTTGCATAAGACTTGATATAATCGTTAATAGTACTAACGGTAATAGGAGGGTTTTTAATTCCAGGTTTGCCACCCTCTTTTCTGTTAGCAGCTATAGCCTATGCGGAAGCGTTTAAAACTTCACTACAAGCTGAAACTTAGCAACACTTAACTTCCCTTAAGGCCCTGCGAGTGTGACAACTTGTCACCTCCTAGCCAAGGGCCTAGAAAAACATATAAGGGAGTAGCTATGCTTACCTCGCTTGCAGGGTGAGGGATCTGGTCGAGCAGCGTTTCAGCAGCACCATGTGAGTGTTTCTACTCTCGTCAATACGTAGTAGTAGAATTCCAGAGTGAAAGGATAACAACATTGATTGACTCAAGCAGGTACAAGCATGCATTTGATATAGACTCCTAAACACACAGAAGGAAAGTACATAAAACGGTTGTTTAACTGGAGTCCAGGACTTCGCTAGATATGCCAAAGAAAACGGTTGTCAAACTGCTGCGGAATTTGGCTTGATTTGCCTGTTGAAGAAAACTGTCTTCAAATTTCATGTCTGCCAAATGCCCTTGCTGACTCCACACGAGTGCTCATGAATTCTCGTTGGTAATTATGAACACTCGTGTGGGATTACCGTTTTCACGAAGTCTCACAGTTGAAAAACGGTTTTCACCGTTTTCTCCCTGTATCGAAAATATCGCGTTACACGCACGACGTTTCCGGCGAAGCTGCTTGTACGCCGAGTCAACGCGGGATTCGGTTTTTCAACCGTAATCCCGAACTCGTCCTTTCCCGCAATCATGCACGACCGATATTTCGGTCGTGCGGTACTGTGCACTGACGTGCGCAGTGCTGCGCGTGGGTAGGGCGATCATTCGCCCTGTCTTGTTGCGATCGTGCCCACAGTGCACGCTCGCAACAGTGCGAGGCACACGCGCAGGCCTGCGGGCCCACACGCACGATCAGGACCCCACGCGCGGGTCCTGATATTTTCGCGCAGTTGACCTTGACTGACGCGATGACTTTTCACAAGTCAAAATTGACTCCTCGTGAACACTCGCGACTCTTCATGAACCTTGCTTCGTGGGGACTCGTGAAACACTCGTGAATCTTCATAATGCTCCCTCGCCATGAACACTAAATCAATACTCATGGAAATTCGCGATGCCTCGTCGTGAGCTCTCGTGAATGAATATGAACTCTCCATGAATGCGAATGACGTGAAGTGTGAAAATGAATGTGCACGAACCGTTCGTGTGATGCGAAATGATATGCAGGCGGCTGGTTGATGTGCAAAATTAATATTTGCATCCAACATTTTCAAGAATGGCGTAGCCTATAAGTCAACTGGCGTGCTACTGTCCTAGGTTTACTGATGTAGCCCGCAATATATTATTTTGTGTTTGGATTTGCCTGTGAATGAGTTACCTAGCGTGTGAGTGAGTCTACCTGTGAGTGACCTATGTGGGTGTCCTAGCGTCATATTGACGTTGCCTATTTGTGACCCGACTTGACATACACAGTATGTTGTGCGACTGTCCTAGCCTGTTTCTTACCTAGCCTGTTTCCGACCTAGCCTGTGACCTGCTTGTCCCTCAGTTCCTTGCTATGAAGTAAGGGCGGTCATACTAGCCTCTGACTTGGCATTGCCTCTGACGGACATAACTGGTGATGGAGCTAGCCTTGACCTAGCTTGTAGCTGAATCAAACCTAAGCTGCTCAATTGTGACTGACCTAGCCTATACTGTCCTAGCCTGTGATTGGCCTAGCTTGTAACTGACCCAGCGTGTGAGTGATCAAGGATGTAACTGACCTAGCCTGTATTTGACTTGAACCGACTAATTTTGCGGCTCGAATCTAATTGGCGAAGGTGGTGCTGGCATGTGCTGCGGGGTCGCTGGTACTAGGTATTATTCGCCTGCTGCATCATTGGTGGCCCTTTCACCACAGCACGTGCCAGCACCACCAACCAAAACCTCAAAGGGCAGCTGAATGGCCAAGCCACCGCCCAGCCTTTTGCTCACTCGTACTATGTATGCCATTCACTATTATTGCCTTTCTTCCTTGCCCTCTACTTTCAGATCCCCTAGTTGTGTTGTGTGCTCGCTCCGGCTTCCCACGCCTGCCTGGCTGTGGTAAGGAGAAGAGCTGACAGAGCCACAATACCGGTTTCATGTCAGGCTCGGGTTAACTCATCGCCTTGTGCTCATGCAGCATCCGACCTTCTGGTTTCCGCTGTTGATCCTACCTTTTTTGCAACCCTCCTCACCCACTTGTATTCACACACTGGATGCCCTATTTCTTCCTCTTAGAATCAGGTGAGAAGTTTGCCTGATTTTTCTTTTTTTTTGACTTCCCTCGTTCCCGTCTCCCTTCCGTGCCCGACAATTGTGCGTTCAGCTCACTAAATGTGGCTGACACTACCCCCCCTGTATGCCACCCCCCTGTGTGCCACCCCCCTGTGTGCCACCCCCCTGTGTGCCACCCCCTTGTGTGCCACCCCCCTGTGTGCCACCTCCCTGTGTGCCACCCCCCTGTGTGCCACCCCTCTGTGTGCCACCCCTCTGTGTGCCACCCCTCTGTGTGCCACCCCTCTGTGTGCCACCTCTCTGTGTGCCACCCCTCTGTGTGCCACCCCTCTGTGTGCCACCCCTCTGTGTGCCACCCCTCTGTGTGCCACCCCTCTGTGTGCCACCCCTCAGCTACTTGTGGCATGGCATCATGTCTCCATCTTGTTTTGCTCCTCAGCTCTTCTCTTACTCACATTATGCATCGTCCATCATGCCAATGCAAGTGTTTTTCTTTGTGCATGCATTCATCACCATCCTCCTCTTTGCACCCGACCCTTCCCACCCCACCCACCCCAACATTCCCAGCTCTTGTCTACTTTTGCCAGGCTGCAGTGAAGGAGGCTGTGTGGTTGAACGCCAGGCTCAGTCATTGAAAAAGGGCTTTTTTGGGAGAGTCCAGTGGATGATATGGCTGCTGATGGAGTGACGAGTGCAGTGAATGAGTCAATAAAAGAGGCGGTGCTGGCAGCAGTGAGGTAGGAGCTGGCTGCACACAAGGAGGAGGTGGATGAGTTGCGGCACATGCTAATAGCGGTTAAGGGGGAGTTGGCTGCGGTGAAGGGGGAGCTGTCAGTGGTGAAGGGGGAGCTGTCAGTGGTGAAGGGGGAGTTGGCGGAACACAAGAACGCTATGGCAGAGAAAGTGGTTGAGAGTAGTAGGGCATCGGATGGAACAGGGTTGAGAGGTAAGAGTAGAACGAGAAAGCAAGAAATCACAGCGAATTTGGCACGGGAGGAGGACAGGGGGAGGGAGGTGCAGGAGTTGAATCAGCCGCATGCCACGGAGGACCTGGCGGCCTCTAAGGAAGGGCTCAAGAAACGGATCCTGAAACTGAATGTTGCGCTGCAAATCAAGCAGAGTAAAGGCGATCAGAAGATGGCATGGAAGGTGTGTGTTGAGTGAACTGTAGCACACTGAATGCATTGCTTGGTATTTGGTAATCCATTCTCTTTCCATGTTTTTCCTCTTCATCCTTTTTTCCTCTTCATCCCTTTTTTTCTGCACAGCCTCTCAGATGGTCATTCCTTTGCTTGTCCTCCATGCCCTCTTCATCCATCACCTCCAGGCAATCCAGTCTGCATCACGACGAGCGGAACTGCGTTTGAAGAGTCACCAAGGCATTTCGGATGTCATGCTCGCCCATGTGTCCACCATGACGCGTCTCAAGGGCATTGTATTGGAATCTAGCTCGGGCTTCAGTGCAGAGGGCATCAAGCACCTCTATAGGCTGCCACGACTGGAGAGGCTAGACCTGTCATGCACAGACGTGTCAGATAGTGCTTTGGAAGGCATTGCTTCCTTGACCAGCCTCAAAGAGCTCGAGCTCATCAAGACCAACGTGACTGATGCTGGTCTGGCGCACTTGACAGACCTCTCCTCTCTCATAATGTTGTGGCTTTCTGCGTGCAAGGGTGTCACAAATGCGGGCATGGTGCATGTAGGGAAGCTGACAGGGCTTATGCATCTTTGGCTGCATGGCACAGCAGTCACGGATGATGGGCTGCAACATCTGAATGCCCTGACCAAGCTGATAGATCTCTCTACATCAGAAGGGAATGACCTGAGTATGGTAATTGGCACAAGCAGTTAGGCAGGCAGGGTGGTAGGGAGTGTTGATTGGAAGGGATGTGAGATGAGGGAGGACGTGAGTGTGTCTTGGTAGGGAGGACGTGATTGTGTCTTGGTAGGGAGGACGTGAGTGTGTCTTGGTAGGGAGGACGTGAGTGTGTCTTGGTAGGGAGGACGTGAGTGTGTCTTGGTAGGGAGGACGTGAGTGTGTCTTGGTAGGGAGGACGTGAGTGTGTCTTGGTAGGGAGGACGTGATTGTGTCTTGGTAGGGAGGACGTGAGTGTGTCTTGGTAGGGAGGACGTGAGTGTGTCTTGGTAGGGAGGACGTGAGTGTGTCTTGGTAGGGAGGACGTGAGTGTGTCTTGGTAGGGAGGACGTGAGTGTGTCTTGGTAGGGAGGACGTGAGTGTGTCTTGGTAGGGAGGACGTGAGTGTGTCTTGGTAGGGAGGACGTGAGTGTGTCTTGGTAGGGAGGACGTGAGTGTGTCTTGGTAGGGAGGACGTGAGTGTGTCTTGGTAGGGAGGACGTGAGTGTGTCTTGGTAGGGAGGACGTGAGTGTGTCTTGGTAGGGAGGACTGAAGAGCGACGTGGAGGTAAGGGGTGTGAAGAGTGAAGGGAGGCATGCATGCGGAGGATTGAGGCATGGAATGGTGTAGAATGGTCAGAATCTATGCCTTGCAGCTGGGCAGAAGCAGGTACAAGGCTGGGGCAAGAGACCACCGTGTGCATGTGGGAAGGCTGCATGAGCCATACTCGCCTGGCTGTGGCTGCAGATAGCAGGCTGTACAGATGGTCTTCACATAGAGGAGAGGGCAGGGCATGTGTATTAAGGAGTTCAGCTTCTGCGCTATCGCTTTAGCAATTATATTAGCACCTAAGTAGGGTCTGAAGGATGGATCATGCTCATTTTATTTGCTCTGTATTGGCCAGGTGCATGAGGGCACTGCTGGATGGGTAATGGGAAAAGAAAATGAAGTGATACAGACCGTAATACACTGACAATGATGTTCACATGTATCATGTTCATTTGGTAATGTCCCAACCCAACAAATGATATAAACCAGTTTCTTTATTAACAGCTCCAAGGGCAAAAAAGGATACCATACATTCTTTTTGTTTACAATCCACATGAGATGGCTTCCTAGTGATTGTTCTGAAAGTACTTATATTGGCTGAGAGGAATGGACTAAACGGGTCGCACTGGACGGAGCATAGAGGTGAGGCTGAGAGAAGTGGACCCTGTGTATTGATGAGGGGGAAAGGCAGATGTGGCGCATTTTGCTACGCACTTGAAGCAATTGTGTTGTGCCCTCCTTACGATCAACCCCCACCCCTCAGCTCTTGTTTCTCACACCACCACAGGTGGTCCACTTTCCCTAGCACGCTGCTGTCAATGGCAGCACGCTGCTGTCAATGGCAACACGCTGCTGTCAATGGCAGCACGCTGCTGTCAATGGCAGCACGCTGCTGTCAATGGCAGCACGCTGCTGTCAGTGGCAGCACGCTGCTGTCAATGGCAGGACGCTGCTGTCAACGGCAGCACGCTGCTGTCAATGGCAGCACGCTGCTGTCAATGGCAGCACGCTGCTGTCAATGGCAGCACGCTGCTGTCAATGGCAGCACGCTGCTGTCAATGGCAGCATGCTGCTGTCAATGGCAGCACGCTGCTGTCAATGGCAGCACGCTGCTGTCAATGGCAGCACGCTGCTGTCAATGGCAGCACGCTGCTGTCAATGGCAGCACGCTGCACACACAAGGAGAGGAGCTGAATTCTCGGAGCTGTACGGGCTGAATGTGTGGAGATGGATGGATCATTTCAAGTGGCATGCACAACTGTCTTTGCTATGTGCATGGGATGGACACAGAGAAGGGGCATGATTTGACGGTATGAAGGGCAGAGCATGATGGGATCATGTGATCAAACGGTTGAGGTATGGGATGAGGTGTTGCATGAAGTCATGGGACAAGGCATGAGGGGAAAGACACACAGAGGGAGAGTGGGGTAATGTGGGGAAAACCGGGTGACAGCAGGGGGTAGTGGTGCAGGGGGTAGTGGTGCAGGGGGTAGTGGTGCAGGGGGTAGTGGTGCAGGGGGTAGTGGTGCAGGTGATGTGGGAGGACGGCAGAGGTGGTGTCTGCGGGCTACGCTGCTGCTGATTGGTTCGGATGGTGGGGAGCAAATAGGAGGGCGACCGCGGGAAGAGGAGGAGGATCGGAGATGGGGAGGACAGTTGGTTCATGAACAGGGTAGATGAAAAGAAGGAGAGCACATATGAAGGGAGCTGCAATGGGAATGATCTGGCGTTATACAATCGAACTGTCAACAACTAGACGGGAGGAGAAAAGGATTGGGAGGATGGGCGTGGGAATGAATGGAGCGGAATGAGGTGATTGGAGAACCTAGAGATGGGAGAGACGTGAGAGAGAAGGGGGGTGACGGGGAGGGAGGTTAGAAGGGATACGGAATGGACTGGACAAAGCAGGAGAGGGTGGTGAAGCACAAAGACGAAGAGGAAATGAAGGGGAATGGTGGGGAATGGGGGGGAATGGGGGGTTGAAAGGACTCATGCCACACCTGTCATAAGCAGCCATGAGGGTGTCGGCTCTCAGTGCTTCTCGGCCATCCCTTCCCAGTCACCATGCTTGCGTCGTGACTCTTGGACCATTGTTCTAGGTGCACATGCTTCGAGCGGGTGGCGAGCACAATAGAATAGCCATGTGCAAATCGTCTGCCAAACCCCAATCCAGCCGGGCCAAAACAACCCACATTAGTGCTGAGGCACCAAAATGGGCGTAAATGGACAAAAGAAGGGAGGCGTGAACAGCAGCAATGGATGGCAGAAGACAGCGATAGCATGAGAAATCAATACTCACATTCATACACGTTGTCTCGCCTCCGTGTTGGCACGTTAGCTGAGATGCCAGTTGCATTCATGGCATGTGAGAATGCCATGCGCTTCATTTCTCCTGTGGAGCACAAAAGCCCCCCGTGGTCAGCACAGTATGCAACAGGCAGCGTGCAACCAATGGGTGGAGGGGTAACTGGCTAGTCATGCATATCAAGGCTGCTGCCTGGCTCCTACATGCCTACCCCCCACTTTTCCTGCGCTGTGTGCACCCACTTGTCGCATCAATGCACTCTCGTGGCTCCGCCATGCTGCGAGGCTATGTGGTGCTGTGATGAGGTAGGCACCTCACCTCACCAATACACTGTATCGGACAGGTGCTGCTGGTATGGGAAGGGGAGGGGAGTTGGGGGGAGAGCACACAGCGGCGCAAATCAGAGAGCAAGGATGCGAGAGGTGGACGGGCGGCAGGAGATGGTATTGCGGCGGCGAGGCGAGAGCGAGCCACCACTGGAATTGCAGTGGCACGTGCCACCTCTCCTCGCCGAACCCGTTGCACTGGAATTGCAGTTCTTGCCTTCCATGATGAGGCACTGCCTTTTGCAATGGCTGCTCACCATAACCTCGTTCTCCCCCCCTCGTTCACATCTATGCTAGGTTGATTGCCGGACGAAACTGGAAGGGAAGGGGAAGAGCGGAAAGGGGCAGAGGGCCCGGGGTTGAGAGAAGGAAACAAACGGGACAAGGCAACGGGATTAATCCCAGTTCCACTGCAGCTCCTGTGGATGGAAACTGGGGCTGGGGAGGGGAGCACCGGGCAAGGAGGCAAAGGGCAAGGAGGCAAAGGGCAAGGAGGCAAAGGGCAAGGAGGCAAAGGGCAAGGAGGCAAAGGGCAAGGAGGCAAAGGGCAAGGAGGCAAAGGGCAAGGAGGCAAAGGGCAAGGAGGCAAAGGGCAAGGAGGCAAAGGGCAAGGAGGCAAAGGGCAAGGAGGCAAAGGGCAAGGAGACAAAGGGCAAGAGCGAGAGTGCAAAAGGGAAGAAGAGAGGTTGGCTGCCACTTGCACCTAAGCTCACTTGTCAACTCCAACCACAGCGCCGCCACGGCTGCGGTAGAGGTAGAGGTTAGGGCGTGCAAGGGGGCAGAGGGCCAGGGCTGAGAGAGCAAAGACAGGGGGCAACGCAAGGGTCCTGCTCCGCGCAGTTACCGTGTGAACTCAGATACCAGTGTCGCCACGGCAGGAAGAAGGGAACGGTGGGCAGGGAGCAGGATGCGACGGGGCACAGGAGAGCATGATGCAGGATGGGGGGGCTAAGGGATGCCACGAGGGGCGCAGGAGGCGCAGCAAGGGGAGGGAGGGCGGGGGTCACATCGGATGTTGCAGGTGCCAAGCACAGCACATGCAGCGTGAGGCGTGAGAAGACCTGATCCACCAGCGCCGCCTTGCAAAAGTGCATCGCGTCACCGTCGCCCCCTTTGAACTTGCAACTCAGCCCATTCTCCCCCACCCCTTTTACCTCTTCCCCCCTGCGTTCCCTGCGGCCCCTGCCCCACCCCCCTCCTCTCTTGCTCGCACCGCTCCCTCTCTTGCGGAACCCTTCACGGTTCACCCCGCTGCCGGTGGCGCGCTGCTCTGACGCCCTCCCAAGGTACGACGCCACCCACGCCACACTGACTCACTCACAAATTCACTTGGGGGCGCTCTATTGTAACGGGGCATTCTACAGAGCGATGAGGACAGGGAGTAGTGTTCATCTCTATTTTCCCACGTTACTTAACTAGAGTCAGACGAGCCACAATGGTTGCGTACAAATAGGCGATGATGAAAATTGGAGGACGCAGACCCAGCAGCCAGCAATGGATGGAAGAAGTGAGGTACGAGCACGATGGGATCAGGAGCAGAGCAGCAGCCATTCAGTTTCCAACACCATATGGGTGGGGCAGGGAGATGCCGCTGTCACATCCTGCACAGCTTCTCTTACCTCTCGCGGCTTCCTGCCGTCAGCTACGAGGCCTTACGCGTTCCACTGAATGGCATGAAGCATCCTCGAACACAAAATACAGCGATAAGAGCCTGCAGTGGAATGTGACGCACGCACGGGAATAAGTGCTCAGGTTTATTCCGCCGCATCTTCAAACTAGCGCCAAAAGCGCCGTGATGACGGGCGTAGATTAGCGATGACGCAAAAAAAAGTAGGCATTGGCCGGCACAGCAGCCAGCAAAGAAGAAGAGTGATACATGGATCAGGATCTGCGGCCACTAGGGTGGGGCAGGGCGATGGTGGCGTCACATCCGACTCAGCCACTCGCCTCCGTGTGGGGCACCCCCACAACCCTACACAGAGACACCAACACGCCCGCCGCCCCCATCGCATGACCAACATGCAATGCGCAGCGCGCAGCTAACCCACGGTGCCAGAATGTCATACCCATGGTGCCAGAATGTCATACCCATGGTGCCAGAATGTCATACCCATGGTGCCAGAATGTCATACCCATGGTGCCAGAATGTCATACCCACGGCTCCCTGCTCACACACCTCCCTCCTGCCCGCCTCATCCCACTCAATACTGAATGACTTTACTGCCTCCATTGCCGGTGCTGCGCCCCGTGGCTCTGCCATAGCGCCCCACTGTGTGTTGCAGCGACCAGCTCGGGTGGAGATGAGCGAGGGCTAAGGAGGTAGGGGCTTGCAGCTGAGCGAGGTGGGGGGAGCGGAGGACTGTTGATGGCATTGCACCCGGAAAAGTAACCCTCACATTCACTCTTCAATTAAAACTCAGCGCAGACATGGGAGGCGTAAGGGAGAGATAGAGAACGATTGAGATCTCCGCCCATTGTGGCGAATGTGCCTTCTATCAAGCTATGCTCCTCACCTCCGTGTTGCCGCCATCGTCGCCCTGCTGCCATCCATCGCACAGTGGAATGTGAGCAGTGCCACAATGGTGTACCCACGGCCTCTGCTCACACACCTCCCTCCTGCCCGCCTCCACCCCACCCACTCAGTGCTGGCCAGCTTCACCGCCACCCCTGTTGCTGCACCTGCCTGTGGCTCTGCCATGCCGCGCGGATGTGTGTCGCGACAAGCTGGGCTCCTCACGGCTAGTACACGGCAGGAGTAGGGGGTAGAGGAAGGGGAAGGGAGTAGAGGGGAGTGGGGCGGGGGCTAAGGAGGTAGGGTACTAACTAACATCCCCACCCCTTAGGGACGTCGTACTGCTGAGCGAGGAGGGGGGAGTGAAACGGCATTGCACTCGGGAAAGTAGCGCCGCTCGTATTCATTCTTCCATCCCATGCATACTGAACGTGGACAGGGGGGCGCAAGGGAGATATAGAACGATTAAAATACCTCAGCCATTCGTGGCAAAAGTGGATTTCGTCCAACTGTGCTTTCACCTCCTAAATTGCGGGAGCAGGTATCTTAAATGGTACTTCTCCGCAAGTTTTTGGAAGCCTGGCCGCAATCCCTTTTCCGCGATGGCGGGTTCACCTACTGGCACGATGAGTGCACCCTTCCGACGAAAAAAGGTGCAGCGCTGGAAATGGGCGTGCGGAAAGCTAGTGTGCTCGGATTCACTCTGCCGCATCAGCGGAATAGCGCCTAAAACGCCGTACCGGGCGTGGATTGGCAAATGACGCGCGTTCCGCCTGCTGCTTGGCGGTGCGTCCACTTGCGGCGAGTGCGGCGAGTGCTGACAGAGCCAGTGATGGAGTTGCGGGCGCACGAGAAATATCGCCAAATATCGCTTTCTCCATCACGCTCCTCTCCTTCTAACCTACTACAAGATCGCACGCAAACTGATGGTATCTAAGGTCCATGGTCGGTTGAAATGTCGGTCGTGGCGACATTGCGGCGCTCCGAAACATCGTTCACCATCTTATTTACATTGGAACCCTATTAACTATGCGGACTTAGCAAACATCGGTTCATAAAACGCGACAAACATCGGTTCATAAAACGCGACTCGATTACTTTGCTGCACGAATGCATTCATCATTCTCGCTCTGACGGAAGCCAAGGGATGGTAGGGAAAACTGTGAAAGTGGGCGTGGAAGTGCTCAGGGCCTATTCAAAACACGAGTTGGGAACCGGAAGAAATCGAAACGCAAATTGATTTAGGAGGAAATGACAAAGCGCCCTGTTTTCAAGTTTCCTATTCCTTTCCGTGGTGGTTTTGACACCACTTCGGATCGCGCTCGCGTCCGATACCTTCGGGACGATAATTTTGCTAATTCCCTTTCCGAGTCCTACCAATCAAATTTTTTATAAATCAGGTTATCCCAGATCAAGCGTTGCTTATTAACTAGCAGCGCAGAACAAATAAAAATATACCCCTATTGGATAGCATGCCATTCGGGAGGCATCAACCCTAAACACCATGAGGCAAGGTGGTTAGGGTTGATGCCTCCCTAATGGCCAGCCATTCGAGTCTGTTAATTTTTTTTTTTTTTTTTTTTTTTTTTGCACTGGCAACTAAACTGAATCGAGGTAGACTTCATAATTGCCCTAGTCACAGGAAATTGGAAATGTCGGGAAAAACTGCCCCAAGGAATCGGACGCGAGCGCGAAGCGGGGTGGTGTCAAAACCACTGCCGAAAGGAACTAGAAACTAGAAAATATGGTGCCTCGTCATTTCCTCTTAATTTAGACAAGAGCAAGACGATCTGATTAAAGTGTTGGTGGAACACTTCTGAACACGTCGTTGAGACAATTTAAACACTAGTGTTATTGGAAACTTGCAATGTAACACCGTGTACCAACTAAGAGGTGCAACTCAACGTGGAAAGAACAGATTCCGAGTTGCAACTCACAAGAGGCTGATATCCAACGGTAATGACGCGACCTCTATGAGACTATCAAAGCATTGTGACGACCCAGCTTATCCCGTCATCGCCCAGATAGTAGACAGTGTTGAATATTAGACAGGGGTTGTCTATTATTCGGGTGTCTCTTATAATCAGGCTAGCCTCAATATAAGTCACCTATTTGTGTGTACGAGATAAGACATATATATCTTATAACCAGAATAGGGGTTTAGGGGTTTCCTTATAGACATGGGGTGTCTTCTAAACAATCATTAGTTCCTTTAGGGGGGTACATGCATACATCTATGAATTGTGAAATAATGAGGAATGAATGAACTAAGAAAAGTGTGTGATACAAATACGAAACCCTAGAAGCTTGTACCCCTTAGTGTCTACCCCACTAGAGCCTACAAACACTATGTCATATATATCTGACACACCCCCATAGGCAAAGTGGGGGAGACCTAGGGGTCACAAGACCAGTCAAGCAAAGCAAGCTCAGGGTGGATCACAATGTCACCACACATTCCGAGCACCAGTTCAAGGCCACAAGGCCAGTTCATATGCAGGATTATATATAAAGGTAAACAAGCAAGTGCAGATATAGATAGATCACAGTACAAGCAAGATCAAGAGGTGAGCAAGTGAGGCCAAGTAGGCACAAGACCTAGCATCGTACAAAAGCGCTGATGATTACAAGGATGAAGTGCCTTGGTAAAGATATCAGCAGTGTTGGCCCGAGAGGCCACGTAAGCAAGACACAGCTGACCACGCTGCTGCAGCTCGCGAGCAAGGAAGTAGCGAAGAGCAATGTGCTTCGTTCTGTGCTCCAGTCTGTGCTCCCGACACAAGGCCAGCATGGCCTTGTTGTCTACGTACAGAACTGGAGGAGAACGAGGCGGCTCTCCTAGGTTGGTAAGCAGGTAGGTGAGCCAGCGTAACTCCTGTGCAGCCATGGCCCCTGCGTAGATCTCAGCCTCACAGCTGGAGCCGAGAACAGAAGACGAGCGGGTAGACCGCCACGAAACAGAGCCGGAACCAAGGCTAAAAGTGTAACCCTGTGACGACCGCTGCGTAGCCTGGTCGTCTGCCCAAGAGGCGTCTGCGTGACCAGTGAGGACCACTGGACTCCGCCCTCCAAGCACAAGCCCCATGCCCGACGTACTGCACAAGTAGCGCAACACCCTCTTCGCTGCAGCCATGTGCTCTGGTCGGTGTCTCCCAGGAGCAACATAGCGTGCCAAGATGCTAAGAGGGTATGCAAGGTCAGGTCGAGTGCAGGTCATCAGGTACATGAGGCAGCCAACAAGCTCTGGGTACGTGCCACTCAGCTCTACGGACTCATCCGAAGGCAGAGCTGAGAGCGAGTGGCGAGTAGACAGAGGAGTGGCGTGAGGCGAGGAGTACGTGAAGTCGAAGTGCTGAAGGACCTGCTGCACCATGTGTGACTGAGTCAGGGTAATGGTGCGCTGTGCTCTGTCCCGGGTGATCTGCAAGCCAAGGTAGCTGCGCAGTTCACCCAGGTCTGTGCACGTGTGTCTCTTCTGCAGCTCGGACTTCACGTGGGCGAGTCCAGCAGTGTCAGCAGTAGCAAAGACCAAGTCGTCGACGTACACAAGGATGTAGAACGGCGGCAAAGAGGTGTCGGTGCGTAGAAACAGCGACGGGTCGGCAGTAGAAGGAGCAAACCCAAGAGCCGCAAGTGTAGTCCTCAGTGTGTCGTGCCACTCACGGGGCGCCTGGCGGAGACCGTAGACTGGCCGCCGGAGGCTCCACTGGGTACCAGGAGGAAACGACCCAGTGAAGCCAGGTGGGCGGCGCAGCCAGATCTCCTCGTGCAGGCTGCCCTGTAGGAAAGCAGTGCTGAAGTCAAGAGAGTGAAGCTCGTAGTCGGCTGAGCGGCTATGTGCAGCAGCACCCGAAGAGTGGTCATCTTCGGGGTGGGAGAGAAGGTCTCAAAGTAGTCAACTCCCTGCCGCTGACTGAAGCCTCGAGCCACGTAACACGCCTTGAAGACAGGCGGAGAACCCGGCGGCCGCTTCACCCTGAAAATCCACATGCCACTGACGATGTTCGCCCCAGGTGGGGGAACCTCGTCAACATAGGTGCCTGTGGACTTCCAGGAAGCCATCTCTGCGTCCATGGCTAACTGCCACTGAGAGGAGTAGGGACCCTCTATCGCCTCTGCGTAAGAGCGCGGAGTCGGGATGTCTGGTGCATCCGGGTCTCCCTCAGGGGCAATCAGCATGGACACGAGATGAGGTAAAGCAGCAGCAAAACACTGGAACTCCTCCTGCCTGTCCTCAAGGACGTCCGTGCTAAGAGCACACTCACCCCCGACGGACGGAGGACAGACAGACTCAGACTCAGCAACAAGACTAGCAGCGTAGTCTAGACGACAACGAGCAGCGAAGTCGACAAGCTCAGCAACTAGGGCAGACACAGCAGTGGACTCAAAGGAAGGGTCAGTGACAACAGTAGCCATAAGACGCGTGACAGTAGGACTGGCAGCACGAAGAGAGTCAGACTCCGGGTCAGCAAGAGCAGGAAGAGAGGATTCTAGAGGAGACGGCAAAGGGACACGCAGGGGAGCACTGGAAGGACGCAGTGCCATCTGGTGCGTGCCTGGGACCGCAGGAGGACGCTGACGTGGAACACGACGACTAGTGCGAGCAGCACGAACAGGCGACGCAGGACAAGACGCAGGCTCACGATGCTCAGCAAGACCTCCAGTAGGACCAGTGTAGGGAGAAGGAGCAGGCAGTGGGGAGGTGGGCTGTAACAGTAACTCAGACTGGACAGGCGGTGGACACTCTAAGGAAGGAGCAGGACCAGCAGAAGGCGGGAGACCAAGAACCTGCTCAAGGAGCGGAACAAAGTACGGCCGCGGCCGTGCAGCGCCTCTAGAACCAGCAGATACAGTACTAGCACCCCCAATGGCAGCACCAGCGCCAGTAGCACCCCCAGCTCCAGCAGCGCCAACTCCACAGCACCCTCAGAAGCACCAGCGCCAGCAGCACCTCCAGCGCCAACACCCCCAGCAGCTCCAGCGCCAGCTGAACCACCGGAAGACTCAACAGCTCCAGCTCCAGCAGCTCCAGCAGCACCTACCCCAGAAGCACCGCCAGCTCTAGCACCGCCAGCAGCTCCAGCACAAGGAGCACCCCCAGGCCCAGCAGCTCCAGTACCTCGAGTACGAGCACCTCCGGGACCCGTGGCACCAGCACCCTCAGTAGCAGTAGAACCTCCAGCTCCAGCAGCACGGCTCCAGCGCCGAGCAAACCACTCGCGCAGCTCCTATAGAGAGGGAAGCTCCCGCCGGGACGAAGCACCCGAAGGACCTCCAGACCCAGCACCCCCAGGCTCAGCACCCCCAGACGCAGCACCCCCAGGCTCGGCACCTCCAGGCTCCCCACGCTCAGGCTCAGTACCCCCAGGCTCAGCACCCCCGGACCCCGCACCCGCAGGCTCAGCACCCCTAGCAGCACCAGAGTCAACAGCTACCTCGACAGGCTCGACTGCGTCTACCTGAGACACACCTGAGGGGGCAGGACCTTGAGGGGGAAGGGGGTCTACCGGGGGGGGACCTGGAGCGAGGAAGAGCGGCGTCGGGGGAAGGGGTGCAGTGCGGTAGGGGAAGAGACGGTAGTAAGGAACCGACTCGTCAAACGTGACGTCCTGGGAGGACAGAACACGTCGCGAGGTGGGGTGGTAAAACTGCCAACCAGGCGCGTCAGGGGGGAAGCCAAGGAAGACGCAGGGAACAGCACGGGGGGACAGCTTGTCCGCAGACAAGTCGCGGAAAAAAGCCCGAGATCCCCAGACACGAAACGCAGACGCATCGCCAACCTTCCCCGTCCACCGCAGAGTAGGAGAGGTCTCCGGCAAGGAGACCCGGGGCTGAAGGTTGATCTGATGCGCCGTGTACTGAACCGTGAAGGCCACAGAAAATGGGGAGCAGCCGCATGGATCATGGACGTACGAGCGACGTCCATGACCATGCCAATGCGGCGCTCAGCAATCCCATTTTGCTGTGGAGAGGCCGGAAGCGTGAAGGTCTGGCGGATGCCCCGTGCACGACAGAAGGCTCGCAGAAGGTCAGAGGAAAACTCTCCTCCTCTGTCGGAGTGCAGACGCAGAACAGGAAAGTCCGAGCCGAAACTCTCTCTGAGCTGGAGACGAGCTGCGCGGATCCAGTCGATCAACACCTCAGTGACCTCACCCTTGTGGCGCAAGGGGAAGACTGTGGTGTAACGCGAGTAGTCGTCAACTACCAGCAGGAAGTAACGCTCGTGACCCTGTCCACGGACGCGGGCGGGGCCCCACACGTCCATGTGGAGAGTCTGCAGCGGAGCCTCTGTCGGAGGAAACTCGGAGGAGTGAGGAGCGGCGCGCTGCCGCCCCTCGACGCAGGGAACGCAGGTAGGGGCAGGCCCCGGAGGAAGAGGAGGGAGGGACCGGGGGAGACCAGAGACAAGGACACGGGAGGCCATGCCTCGGAGACGAGGCAGGGAGGGGTGACCAAGGCGGTGGTGCCAGAGGAGAGTCTGGTGAGACAGGAGACGACACGAGCAGGGGGCAGACTCAGGACCAGACCTGGACGCTGCAGCAAACACCTGACCCGACGCAGCTACCTGACCGGACATAGAAACCGGAGGAGACTCAGTAGTCAGTGTGTACAGGCTCGACCCCGGCTGACGAGTAAACGTGGCCAAGTGTCGGCCCGTCCTAGCACACGTGCAGTGGGTCACTCGCTGACTCGCAGGAGTGAACTGGTCAACCCCCCCATCCTGTAGATCAGCACCACTCACCAAGTTCGTAGAGAACGAGGGGAGGTAAAGACCTGACAGGGTGCCAGAAGGGGCCGCCGGACACGGTAAGACAGTGGAGAAGTGGGCAAGGACAGGACCCCCAGAGGGTTCTGCCACGGAGAATGCAACCGGCCGACTAAGCGGCATGAGTGTGGTGCGGTCTCGAAAGAAGGAGCGGGAAGCACCCGAGTCAAGGGTGAAGGTGTGCAAAGCGTGAGCCGACGTGGTACCTGAGAGAGCAGACTCACCAGTACCTGGGGCAGCAGACTCACCAGCACCTGGAGCAGCAGACGCACTAGCACCTAGAGCAGCAGCCTCACCAGCACCTAGAGCAGCAGCCTCAATGCCCGGGTCAGGCGGAACACACAGGTAATAGTCACCCTCATCACTAGTAGACACAACATACATGGCAGCAAGAATGGCATCATAATCTAGATCAAAGATAGCAACCCCCGACCTAAGCAGCTTGCCCCAGCGAGGGATCAGAGTGGCGTCAGGGAACTGGAGACGCCAGGCGTCCTTCAGGCGGCCGAAGCAGCGCTGGGTGGTGTGCGGGCCACCGCACGGCTCACCAGTGCGGTCGCCGGTACGCAGGACGTAGGCACAGGGACCAGCACCCCCACCCCGCTGACGCGCAGCGTACCACTCACGAAGTTGCTGGGGGGGCGGGGTCTCACGAGTGCGCTGCTGCTGCTGGCGCTGACCACCACCGAAGCCGCCCCGCTGCACAGAGCCACCCCGACCAGCTCCACCGCCGCTGCCGCCACCGCCGCCACCGCCGCCACCGCCGCCGCCTCCGCTCCCACCGCCACCGCCGCCACCGCCTCCGCCTCCACCGCCGCCACCGAAGCCCCCACCCCCACCACCACTCCCACCGCCACCCCCACCCCCTCCCCCGCCTCCACCGCCACCTCCACCGCCCCCGCCAGCTCCTCCAGCGCCCTTGCCCCCCTTGCCCTTGCAGTTGCAGCGTCTCCCGCTAGGGGCAGACGCAGCACCGACCGACTCGGTGCCAACGAAGTCGACCGCAGCAACAGAGGCAACAGAGGGCAAAAGGGGGGAGGGGGAGCACCCCTCAAAGAAGGGGGCACGAGGATCACCACTATACTCTTCTCAGCTGCCAGGAGGCACTCCTTGAGGAGATCAATGGTGAGTGTGGTGGGGCAAACAGAGAGGAAGTGGTCCCTGACCGAGCGAAGGGAGTCAGGGAGCCGGGTGAATAGGTAGTAGAGGGTGATGTACATGGGGGGGGGGGTTCTTGGCGCAGAACTCAGCAGGAAGCGCAGCGCGGTAGCGGGTGTCACTAGTGCGAAGGTGCGTAATGAGGTCAGCGACTGTGGGGAAGGCGGCGAGGTCAGGGAACAGGTACGGCAACATGAGGCGACTAAGGGCAGCAGTGGCAGGGGAAGAGTAGCGTGCAACTACAGCGTCGTACAAGGTCTTAGCACTCTTGTACTGACTAAAGTGCGCGCGCTCAGTGGACGGCAAGTGACTACGCACAGCAAGACGTGCAGCAGCATCGCGTGTGGCCCACTGTGAGCGAACAGTACTGTCAGCATCGGCAGCAGGGGCAGCAGAGGCGCCAGACATGAGATCGAATAGTGAGAGACCATCTTTTCTATCGCACTGCAGGAAAAGCTGCAGATCATCGACCCAGACCTCAAAGTCGACAGCCCGACCCTCAGCATCAAAGGTGAGAACACTAGGGGTGGCCATGACAGCAGCAGCAGCAGCAGGCTAGCAGTAGCAGCAGCAAGCTAGCAGTGGCAGCAGCAGGCTAGGAGCAGCTCAGCAGGAGAGGCGCGGCTCGGCGGTGCTCTTACCAAGGCCGGGTGGGTAGAGGGCCGCAAGCGGTGGGGCAGGGCCGAGGCGCGCCGGCAGGGACAGGGCCGCGACAGGGCGGCAGAGGAGTGCCGCGCCTCGGTTGCAGGGCAGGGCCGGGACGACAGTGGCGGCTGTCACGGCAGCGGCAGCGGCGGTTGTCCCAGCTGGAGCGGCGGCGGCTGTCACGGCAGCAGCGGCGGCGGCGACCAGTCGTAGAAGAAGCAGCAGCGGCAGCAGGCACGACGGCAGCTGCTGCTGGGGCGGCGACTGTGGGGCGGCAGGGCCGTGAAGAGCCGGGGAGGGGCCGCGAAGGGGCCGCGACGAGCCGTGAAGGAGCCGCGGAGGGGCCGTGAAGGAGCCGCGAGGGGCCGCGAAGGGCCGCGGAGGGGCCAGGAAGGGGCCGCTAAGGGCGGCGAAGGGGCCGCGAGGGGCCGCGAGGGGCCGCGAAGGGGCCGAGAAGGGGCAACGAGGGGCCGTGAAGGGGCCGCGAAGGGCGGCGACGGGGCCGAGAAGGGGCCGCGAGGGGCCGCAAAGGGGCCGCGAGGGGCCGCGAAGAGCGGCGAAGGGGTCGCGAGGGGCCGCGAGGGGCCGCGAGGGGCCGTGAGAGGGGCCACGAAGGGCCGCGGAGAGGTCGTGAGGGAGCCGCGAAGGGGCCGCGAAGGGCCGTGAGAGGGGCTGCGAAGGGGCCTTAAGAGGGTGCGACGGGCCGCTAAGGGCAGGGGACGCGACGGGAGGGCAGGCGCACGGGGCGCGACTAGGGCAGGCGCGAAGCGCGCTCCGGGCAGGTAAAAAAATAAATTTCGTTTTAGTGGTGGGCCCTAGGAAACGTTCCCACTAGGGAACCTGCTCTATACCATGTGAAATAATGAGGAATGAATGAACTAAGAAAAGTGTGTGATACAAATACGAAACCCTAGAAGCTTGTACCCCTTAGTGTCTACCCCACTAGAGCCTACAAACACTATGTCATATATATTTGACATGAATCTCTACTTCTACCTAGCCCTCCTCAGTCACGGCCTCCTCACTTGCACTAACAGCAGGCTCCCTAACACCCAGGTCTGGCACTCTCCAGGCATGCCTAGCCGTCTCCCTAGGCCCGATCATGCGGTCAGCCTCAGCCGCCGCTCCGCGGTAGTTGGGGGTCTCCTGGTACAGCAAATCCAGGCCGGTTGCCACGGCCACCTCCCTCACGCCCTCCGCCTGCATCTCCTCCTCCTCCTCCTCCTCCTCCTCCTCCTCCTCCTCCTCCTCCTCCTCCTCCTCCACCTCCTCCTCTGAAGCCTGCCCAAGCAGGCGCGTGCTGTCGCAAGTGGTTCCCCCGAGACATATGTCCCCAGAGACATCGGTGGTGCTCCTGGCGCGCAGGTGAGAAATTACCGGGTGGTTCTTTGTCCCGTCCAGCTTGCTTGAAATCCCACAGTGGCGGAACGCGTCAATGATGACCTTCTTAGGGACTTGATCCCACGCCTCGGTCAGCAAGGTCTGCACAGCGCTCTCGTCCATCCACCCGTTGTCCTGTGCTTGGCATACGATTCCTGCCAGGCACATAGGGGATAGACGGGCGTCAGTCAAAGAGGGCAAGCTCACCAGGCTTACGGCTCCCAAATTCCTTGAGCTTACCTTCCGGAATCTCACAGTTAGGCACGTTCTTCAGCCTGAACGAAACCCAAGGGTGCAGCTTCTCCCCGGGTGCGGTGCACGCGAGCATCACAGTGAGCCGCGTCTTCTCGTATCCTGCAGTGCGGATTGGGATCGAGCGCGCGCCACCGTGCTCGATCGTCCTCTCAGCTGGCATCTCAACGAAGAGTGGCGTCTGGTCCACGTTGAAGATGCGGGCCAGGTCGATGTTCCGCCGTGCCCTGTTGATGCGCACGAACTTCCAGAACGACTCGCAGTCCTTAGCGCACTCTGCAAAGGGAACATACGCCACGGCAGGAGGGGATGGTTAGAAACAAAGGGCAAGGAATATGCAGTGAAGCAAAGGGCAAGGAACATGCGGTCAAGCATCAAGCGCGAATTCAAGGCCTTTAACACTGTCGGACCACGCTGTCTTCAACTTCACGTCGCACAGTTCGCCGCGTTGATCAATGTCGCAGGACAAACGGGCAGAAAAATCGCGTTCATCTCGCTGACCAACAACTCGTAATGCTCAGGGGCCAGCCACAACTGTAACTCGCCACCTCTCCGCCATGGATACTACCTCGAGCGCTTCGGAGGTCCCAATGTCCACTGAAACCTTGCCTGATGGGGCTTTAACCAAACTTTTTGGATTCCTCGCTTCAAGATCAATAAACGAACATGTTTCAAATTATATCTATCTTCAGTGAATCCCAAGGCATTAAACTCCCAAGGTTTTGCACTCAGTATACCTACACGGACTTCCCAAGGATCTGCGCCAAAGGAGCAACGATGTCTGCGTCACCTACTGATTGACAAAGGAGGCATTACCAAGGCATTGCCTACCAAGTGTCTATCGCATAAAAGGAGACTCAAGGTAACGCCTTTCATTATAAAGCAACCCGATTGCTACCATCAACCGCTACATTTTTACGCCATGCCGCCGAAGGGACGATCCCAGAAGATCAACGCTAAGTCTGGTGCTCGGGTGCAGACTTTCAGGGCACCAGTTTCACCACCGAAGGTTGATAGAACACCGATCATCAAGGACGCTGCTAACGTGCTGCTGTCACCTTCAGTCCACGTGACACATCCGGAATGATCATCAATGGCTGCTGCCAGGTTATCTGCGTTGAAAGGCAATGGAGCAATGGGTGATTTGGTTAACAGCAACGGGAAAGCTCAGGAACCGGAGCTACCTGAACCGATGTCACCTCCTACTGAACCGGATATGGACTTTCCTGATGTTGAAGAGGAACAGGGTCCTGATGGCTCCGGTTATCTCAGTAATAACTCTGATGAGGGAGCTGACCCTGTTATGGCTGGTCTTGTTGCTACTCAGATTTGCTATACGCTGACGCTCTTAATACCAGATAAGCATATTGATGAAGCCCCACGCACAATGGACTCGGTCAACGCTCATCTGATCCACTAAAAGAAAGAACTCTCGGCGGATGTGCCGACAACAACAAAGTTTCAGAAGTTGCTGCCTACTTACCTGTCAAAGGAGCGGTTTGGTCGCATTCAAGTTACCTTCATTCATCAGAAGGATGCAGCTTTCGTTTGGAAGCGTGCTTTTGCTCACGATTGTGTTGACGGTACCCCTTTGAAGTGTCAAACTATAACTGCTGCATGTTGTGTAGGCTGTAGTGGGGTAGCCCATATGGGGTACAACCAAATTAGGAATTACTACTTGTACTCATGCATGCTGCTAGTTCATCCATTCCTCGTTCATTCTCCTGACATGGTATCAGAGCAGGTCCTAGCCTAGGACCGTTTTTCGGGCCCACCATTGCTTAGTGACCGACTGCGGTTACCGTGTTACCCCACGCCCTGCCTGCGCTGCGCCGTCAGCGCGCGCCCTGCCCTGCCCTGCCTTGCGTCACACTGCCCGTATACGCCCAGCCCTGCGTCGCGCTGCCCCGCGCATGCCCTGCCCTGCCCCGCGTCGCGCTGCCTCGCGCACGCCCAGCCCTGCCCCGCGTCGCGCTGCCTCGCGCACGCCCTGCCCTACCCCGCAGCACGCGGCCCTACTCACACCCTACCCTGCCCTGCGTCGCTCTACATCGCGCTGCCCTGCCCTGCCCCGCGTCACGCTGCCTCGTGCACGCCCTGCCCTGCCCCGTGCCCTGCTGCCCTGCGCGTCGTGCCCTGCTGCAGCCCGCGCGTCGCGCTCTGCTGCCCCGCGCGTCGCGCTCTGCTGCAGCCCGCGCGTAGCGCCCTACTGCCCTGCGCGTCGCGCCCTACCGCCTGCCCGTTAGGCCCGCCGTGGGCCCTCCCTTCGTGCCGCCGCGCCTGCCCGTTACGCCCGCTGCGGCGCCCGCCCGTTAGGCCCGCCGTGGGCCTTGCCTTCGCGCCGCTGCGCCCACCCGTTCGGCCCGTCACGGGCCCGCCCATTCGCCCCTCCCGCACCTGTCCGCTACGCCCGCCGCGGGCCCGCCCCTTACGCCCGCCGCGGGCCCGCCCCTTGCGCCCGCCGTGCCTGCGTTTTGCGCCCACCGTGGGCCTGCACTTGCTGCCCAGCGCCGCCCTGCCCGTGCGCGCTGCTGCCCGCGCCAGAGCCCTGCCCTGCCAACGCGCCAGGGCCCTGCCCTGCGCGCGCTGGCGCCCTGCCCTGCCCTGCCCAAGCCGCCTCTGCAGCACCCTGTGCGCCCTGCTAAACCCTAAAATAAATAAATAGATTAATTAACTAAAAAAAAAAGCAAGCCCTAGGAGCTACTGCCTCCTATTGGCCGCGCGCCGTCCTGCTCTAGCCGCGCGCTGCCCTGCTCTGGCCGCGCGTTGCCCTGCTCTAGCCACACGCCGCCCTGCTCTGGCCGCGCTCAGCCCTGCTCTGGCCGCACGCCGCCCTGCTCTAGCCGCACGCCACCCTCCTCTGGCCGTGCGCCGCCCTGCTCTAGCAGCGCGCAGCCCTGCTCTGGCCGCGAGCCGCCCTTCTCTGACCGTGCACCGCCCCGACCTACCCTAGTGCCTCCTCGCCGCCCTTCCTTCCCTACGTGCTGCCCTGCTGGTCGCATGACTTCTCTTCACAGCAGCGGTGGGAGTGGTGGCGACGGTGGGGGCAGCAGTGGGAGTGGTGGCGGCCGTCGTAGCAATCGCTGTGGAGCTGTTCGGTGGGGAGTTTCTGGCGGTGGCCAGATGCAGCTGGAGTGGCGTCTGCTGGAGACCCTTACACCCCAACAGCTTCGTGAGTGGTTTGCTCAGCGTTGGGCGTCTCAGCGTAGTGGCCGTAGTGGCAGTCGCGGTGCAGCTACTCAGTTGGGAGTTTCTAAAGGTGGCCCGGTGCAGCTGTAGCGGCGTCCACGTGAGACCCTTACGCCCCAGCAGCTTCGTGAGTGGTTTGCTCAGCGTTGGGCGTCTCAGAGACGTGCTGAGGGTGACTGTTACCTGTGTGTGCCGCCCGACCCAGGTATAGAGGCTGTTGCTCTAGGTGCTTGTGAGTCTGCTGCTCTAGGTGCTGGTGAGTCTGCTCTCTCTAGTTTTGCGCCTGCTGCGGCCTTGCACATCTTCACGCTTGACTCAGGTGCTTCCCGCTGTTTCTTTCGCGACAGTACCACAGTCACACCGCTCTCTGCACCTGTTGCTGTCTCTCTCGCTGACCCCTCCGGGGGCCCAGTCCTTGCACGTTCCTCGACTAATCTGCCGTGTCTGACGGTTCCGTCTGGCTCATTTTCAGGTCTTCACCTCCCCTCGTTCTCTATGAACTTGGTGAGGAACGCCACCCTTCAAGATGAATGGGTTGATACCTTCACCCCCGAGGACAGCGTGTGGCGATCTGTACGTGCTCCCGGACTGGCCGGCACCTGGCCACGTTCACCCGTCGGCCTGGGTCGAGTCTGTACACACTGACTACTTGCGCGTCCTCAGGTAGCTGCGTCTGCGTATGCGTCAGGTCAGCTGTCGGCCCCCTGCTCGTGTCGTGCCCTGTCGCACCAGACGCTCCTTTGGCACCACCGCCTTGGTCACCCCTCCGTGGCACGCCTTCGTGGCATGCACTCCCGTCTTCTTGTCTCTGGTCTTCCCAGGTCCCTCCCTCCCCTCCCGCCCTCGCCTGCCCCTCCCTGTCTTCCCTGTGTCGAGGGGCGGTAGCGCGCCGCTCCTCATTCCTCCGAGTTTCCCCCGACGACTGCTCCCCTGCAGACTCTCCACATGGACGTGTGGGGCCCAGCCCGCGTCCGTGGACAGAGCCGCGAGCGCTACTTTCTGCTGGTTGTCGACCACTGCACGCGTTACACTACGGTCTTCCCCTTGCGCACCAAGGGGAGGTCTCTGATGTTTTGATCCCTTGGATCCGCGCTGTTCGTCTCCAGCTCCGCAAGCGGTTTGAGACGGACCTTCCCGTCCTGCGTCTGCACTCTGACAGAGGTGGTGAGTTTTCCTCCGACCTCTTGCGGGACTTTTGTCGTGGGTAGGGCATTCGCCAGACTTTCACGCTTCCGGCCTCTCTGCAGCAGAATGGGGTTGCTAAGCGCCGCATTGGCTTAGTCATGGAGGTCGCTCGTACCTCCATGATCCATGCGGCTGCCCCCCATTTTCTGTGGCCGTTTGCGGTCCGATACGCTGCGCATCAGCTCAACCTCTGGCCCCGTGTCTTCTTGCCGGAGACCTCACCGACACTGGATTGGACGCGAGAGGTTGGCGATGCGTCGGTGTTCTGGGTCTGAGGCTCTCATGCCTTTGTCCGCGATACGTCCGCAGACAAGCTCTCCACCCGCGCCATTCCCTGCGTCTTCCTTGGCTTTCCCCTTGACGTGCCTGGCTGGCAGTTTTACCACCCCACCTCGCGCCCTGTCCTGCCCTCTCAGGACGTCACGTTTGATGAGTCGGTTCCCTTTTACCGTCTCTTCCGCTACCGCACTGCCCCTCTCCCCCCCCCGCCGCTCTTCCTCACACCAGGTCCTCCTCCGGTAGACCCCCTCCCCCCTCAGGGT